GTGGTCGGAACGAAAACAAAAGTTCTGCGGTCTCATCGTATGGGGTTTCCTGTTCTGGTGAAAAGAGAGAGACAAAATCAACGCGAGGCCCAGCATTACTGCTTCACGATCCAAGTTGTCACACCTCATATCAGCACATCAAGCAAGAAAACACTAGGATAAGGGACAAAGAAATAAAGTAGAAAGCAGCCAAGAACGGTGAAAAAAATCATCGGAATAGAGCAAGTAGAAACCAGAGGATACTGAAATTCAGTGCGATGATTCGGATTAAGATGATATGAGGATACGTCGGCGCCAGTGGGATTGATTCTGATCCATTTCGTCCGACTATGTGTTTTGGTTGTCACGTGGACTCCGACGGTAAGTCTACACTTCCCCACATGTCTCAGATCAAGAGTCCAAGGCTTCGGAGTGTGATGCCATGTTTTTTCCAGTGGCGTCTACGTCAACGTTGATGAGGAATAAGTTGTCTTCACTTCAAATTGCAACTCTCCATAGGCCTTTATGCCCTTGTGTGGGTCTGGTAACAGAACCTTCATGAGCATAACATAGGCCCGCTACTTACCTGGCTTAGGACACTACCACGACCAACCTCTGTCGGTGGACTAAACGGCCGCTTTCAAGTGGAGTATTGTGAATTTTTGCTGTCCGTATTTTAACTTGTGTTCCATAACATCCCGACGAGGGAAAAGGTGGTCGGTACACCCTCGTCTTGGCCTAAAGCCTACCCAGTTTTCTGGTTTGGTTTCTTCAAGCTCCAAGTAGCTATCGAATGAGTGTAGACTCCAGGATCTAAGGTACTACATAAGTGAAAATGATATCCTTGTATCTGTCATGAGAGCACTTTTCCTTTCCCATAAACTGGATTTGCCAGCGATTTGGACCAGTGTGAAGAAACTACCCATGACTTCCACACAACAGCTAGTACTTCTGTGGCTTTACTCAGTGATTTCTTTCGTTCACCCTGAAAAACACTTTGTGGCCAACTGTCTGGTCCTGCTTCCATACACTGTTTCGTGTTTGGAACAGCCTTCTCAACTCCGAGGACAGTTGGAGCACCGATATCTACGTCCCATCCAGGATTGGGCCGGATACTGGGCAGCTATGGCTTTGCTTCTGACCATTTGAACTGTACTGCAAGGTGTTACACCTAACGTTCTTGCGACCTGTCCTGAGTTTTTCGAGGATCCATCTCGTTTGTTTGATCTCACTGATCATTGTATTTTTCTTACCATTTCCCCTGATAAACCTCAATAACTGTCGAGTATTGCTCAGTGTTTTCGCCCTCCCCATCTCTTTTGCCTCATATCACTACTCAAGATCACTGCGGAAACTTTTAAATTGGTTTCGCCCTGTGCCATAGTCGGAGTCAGGTGTAACTAGTCTTCTCACACAGATCAGTATGGATGGCGCTGCGGAAGTCCACTGGTTTTCACTAATTGTCTTTACCGCCGTTTTCACAGCGGGTTGGGTGTCACATGAGGCTTCACCAGCAAGGAGATCACTGTTATGCTTAAATAGATGTTTAGCCATCTTCTGTCTGAATGCTCACACGGCTTTTCCACCTTCCAGCCGAGCATCTAGGTTTCACTATCGTGTTTCTTGAACCTAATTGGAAATAAACATACGCACACCCGTAGAAACACGTGATCGGACTCCAGGCAGGTACTACAGAGAGAGTAGCAAGACTCCATTGGTCCACTCCGACGATGGCTTTTGGTAATTTGATCTGTGTCCATCGTTGGTTTGATGTCGGCGGATCTCAAGCAAGACAAAGTCTCGCCTTATGTCTGAGTTTTGTGTTAACCAGAAACAAATGATTATTAGAATATATTGCGAGGGATGATCAGCGTTGTTGGTTCTTGGATGTGGCATGCCTGCATAGGCCGAACGAGCCTTATTGAATAGCCTAGCTTCCTTAATTGAGTGTTGAAGCTACCCACTGCCTTGATCATGCCTGAATATTTCGCCCTTTCTTAGAAAGTTGACAGCTTTTTCTTGGACTAATCCATTTTATTATTGGGGCCTCAGTCGGTACGGACGTAGGAGAAACTTAAAATTAGGCAACGACCAGATGCATGATTATTACGATGTGTCGCATATTTAATTTTTCGAAGAGTGTTTAGGAAATGTCCCTTCGCGAACTTGACAGGCACAGTGGCGAGTCACTTATTATTCGTACTTGTTTTTTACCACGAATACGAGACCAGGAAAGAACATTTGCATAGTCGAATGGGATATTATATTCGCGAGGTCGTGCCAAGATACCGATGCGTTCCAACTAACTGGCTAGGCGGTCAGTGACGAGCAGTGCAGCATAATACGACAGCGTGCCGAATGGTGTGGATGCTTGCCTGGCTGCCTTCAGCTTATCGAGTCCTGTTAAACTATGAAGGTCAGCATCAATGTTAAATCTCGTCGAACCCTAGGCTACTGATTGTGGAGAGGTGTGTGACGCTCTAAGTACACCCACCCCTAGTTATTTCTATCAAGTGGAAGGGTTCCGGTTTCGCCCCAAAAATTAGTTCCAACCACACACAGTCTATCCGATGGTACTATGCCACTGAATCGGTCGACACTCGTAGAATGCAGTTCGCCTGTTAACCATATTGAGCAAGTGAGGTCTCTTGAACACAACGCATCTGTGTATCGAGATCTAGAATTTGTGTATATGATATGAATACAAAGCGCTCAAGTGACTACTAATGACCGAGTGTAGTGTATAGCAAATAATTTTCTTACTTGATGGCTGTGAAGTTTGACCGTCAAAAGGGAAGAACATGCAAAGTCCCCGTGTTTTCAGCCACTGTTACGTACATGGAATAGACCATCTCGTTGAAACACCACGATATTATCGTAGAAGTTACTTGCAGAGTTTTAGTCAAAGAAGTTAAGTCAACTGACGAGGTCGTAAAATTTCATTGGTTCAAGTGGCTCAGACATGCATTGCTACCTATACCTATTCACCTTCTACCTTCAACTTTCGATGTTAGCAGTAGTGGGTCTTGGCTGGAAACGGCCGGAAGGAAACCAGACTAAAATGTGGCATAAATTCATGGAGTCGCTGACTGTTAGTCTGTGTCATCTAAGCAAATATGAACTTGCCAGTTAGGATACAGCTGACAGTCAAAATCAGTGGTTGAAGATTCTAGGTCACACAATCTCAAAAGCAATCTGTGGCTGACTGACAAAGTCAACGTAGAAACTCGCACACAGGCGTACCAGCTAGAGTTGCCACACTTATACAAAGAACAGGTAGGTTGAAAAAGTGATATCAAAGTAGTGTGAGAGAATCAACAATCTGAGGATGACGGTTAGATTGAGTATTCAATCTTTACAGTCACTGACTTTCAGCCTTGTCACCAAACGTCCTAATCCACTGATTCCTGATATTACGGGGACCCCAGCAAGCCACCTTACACCTCCCCACATGGCTCAGAAAAATAGTCAGATCCTTCATCGACTGGTCCAACGTCTTCGTTTCGTTTCGTGAACCTGAAACCTAACACGACCCAATCCACCTTCCTTTAGCATGGCACCCCAAGATAGGCTGTGGCTCGACATGCGGAGTACGTGTCCAAGCCATCTCAATCGGCTAAGGTTCACAACCTCACCAATCGACATTGCTTTCTTGCCCAGTACCCTTTGTTTGACCTCAACATTGATCACATGGTGGTTCCACGAAACGTGAGCTATGCTACAAACATCTGTGGTCAAAACCCAGTAATCACTTCATGCCTCCTACTTTTAACGGCCATGTCTAATAGCCATACAACGGGACTGAAGAAACTGCACCACAGTATACTCATCATTTGATAGCTATTCGGATATCTCGCCGATACCACAGGTGACACAAGCTGGCACATTCAAGACGGGCCTTCTGTGACCGAGGTGAGATTTCGTCAGCAACCAGCCTGATCGAGCTGATGCAACTCCCCAAGCAAGTGAAGTGGTCGACATATCCCACCACTTCACTCACTCTCTATCATTAAACTGAGAGTACTTGCAGCAGCCCAATCCTGGAGCGTCATCCTACATTTGACAGATGCCAGTGAAATGTATGCCAAACATACTCAGAGTTTTGCTCAACCCGTCCAGAAGTCCCTGCATTTTGTCGGTATCTTCACCCATCAGGACAATATCATCTGGATATTCCAAGTCAACCAGATGACCTCCAGGGAGTAGATCAATCTCTGTGAAGTCACAGGTGCATAAGGTTATGTCCTTCAGTACTTCTATGACGAAGTTGAATAGGAACGATTGCTGGCAGACACCAGTAATTGTCATCAATTCTGATGACAACTCTGCATAATCCCTTACATGGTTCCATGAGTTCGAGTAGAGAGCTTTGATTAGTGCTATGCACTTGCTCGTTACTCGCTTCAATGTACATATTGTAGTAGTGATGCATAGTTGTTAGCAGTGGAATGCAGGACTCGCGTTTCATCGTATGTGAGATTTTCCAGCTATATGTAGTTGTCTTCCTGTGAGCGATGTTGTTGCCTTTAAAAACTGAAACCCTGGGTCCGGTCGCTTTAAACGGCAGAGTGCTATCAACGTGTTATCCGAGTCAGGATACGTACTTCTTTTGCGATGAGTATTGTCTTTATGTTGTCGTAAACTTATGTGTTACTGTACTGACACAACGTAACGCTAAGTCTTAAACAATTTGAAATCGAAAATTTAGTCAAAGTGAGTCAAGTTATAGGTTATACCAATATATATATATATATATATATATATATATATATATATATATATATATATATATATATATATACCAATATCTTTGCAAAATTATCTGTCTCCAATCGCAGCGGTTTTCATTCATTAATTATTAATTGGTACGAGTTTTTGTATACACAGTGTAAATTGAATTTTACCTTTTAATAAAGAAAAAGAAGTCTCTATAAGTCTATTGCTTGATTTTTTTTAGAGTTCCATGGGAATCGTGTCTGCCGTGCAGTAAATGATATCCTGCCACTGTTAATGAATCCTGGATGGATTCAGTGAACGATTCAACAAGAATCTATCATGAACGACAGTCCAAAATGTTCTGTGCATTACATGCACTGAACAATGTTTTTCAAGATAAAATATTCTCCAAACATTGCTTGGATAGGATAGCCGATAATCTGAATACAGGCTCATTTATCAATCCTCATAGAAATGTATTTGGTTTAGGGAATTATGATGCAAATGTGTTAGTTATCGCTCTTCAACAATGTGGCTATGATATAGTATGGTGTGATAAACGTAAAACAATCGCTGCACATAATTTAAATTTTGATAATATTTTCGGCTATATACTGAACACATTTTCTAATCGTCGTATTTTTAACTTAACATTGCCATATGCTGGAAGTCATTGGATTGCTCTACGCAAATTGAAACTGGATGACAAACATCTTTACTTTAATTTGGACTCTAAGTTATATCAACCAGTTGTGGTTGCATCAACCGATGCTGAGTTTGTCAATTACATAGAAGGACGTCTTAGAGAATATCCTGAGACTCAGCTATTATTCGTGGTGTCTAATGATGTGCTTCAACAACGTTCCTGGACGCATAATAAATAACAGACGCAACCTTTAGAACAATGTAATTTGTTGTATATGTACAGCGATATATTCTCTGTTTAATAAAATGCATTTGATACGAATGACAGTCGTTTTTTTTTACCAGTTTCTCATTGTAATCCATACTTAATAGATAACAGAAAAGTTGGAAGTGTTAGTCGACTTTAACTAGGTATAATCAGTACTTTGTGAGCATCTCGACGGAATTTCTTCGTATCAACTTGTAGTCAACTTTTTTTACTTACTGTTTTACTTACTTTTAAACCTATTCTGTAGCAAACGACTGTTACGTCCACTTTTAAACAATATTTGAAGTTATTTTGCAGTTGTTGTCTAGACTTGTGTTTGATATTTAACACAGTCAAAAACAGCCTTAATGAACTTATAAGTGACTAGTCTATACGGATCCGTCATCCATCCAAGTCAACATTGGACCAGGCATTACTACTTGACGGTCCGAGTTGCCGCAACTCATTTCCGTACATCAAGAAAAAAGGCAGTGAGTCGCAAGATGAAGATAAGAGAATGCAGTCAAGAAATTTAAAGTACTAGTGGAGAGAAAGAAAGAATAAGAAAATGGTGAGATTCGGTATAGCGTCGTTAAGATGAAGATAATGTGTGTATACAGCTGCGCCACTGACATCGGTTCTGAGCCATATCATCTAGATTCTCAAACCATTGGTTTCTCTTGTCCCTCAGACCCCAACCAGCTAGTCAACATCGTCCCACATGGCTCATATCAACAGTCAAAGACTTCAAACATTGATGCCATGTTTTAGTCTGGCGGCTTCGAGACTTTTTCCAGTCTGGACCTACTTCGGCCAACGTTGTGTGACTAGGCCATACAGATCATGTGATATGATGGATTTTCTTGTTTTTCACTAGTGTTTTAGGTTATAATTTAGGTGTTTCGCATGGTAATATTAAATTATATAACCTAAGAAGTCCGATTTAAAATCAACAATACCAACCCTTGTGATTCGAAACCGGTAAAATATATGGTATCAACGAAACGATGGTCTATTTTTATCATTTCATAGTCTAAAATTTCTCGTTGTCAAATTTAGAAGATATATAACCGAATAATAATGTTTTCAATTAGCTCTCATCAAGCTTTGCACTAGTATACATACGTTTTCTCATATGTAAAACATTAAACCAATCATAATGGGTTCTCTAGTCTGTGGTAACACGTTTCATACTTTAGTATTGCATAACTTTTATTTTTCTAAGTTTTGATCTACACTTGCTAAATCTTTGAAGTACCACGCTGTTCTCGTTATTCGTGTCATCATTGAAATTATTAGTATAATTAATATTAACTAGATATCTACCACCTTCACGCTTCATTTCCTTGTTACCATAGACTAAAGAATCCATCATGATCGGTTTAGTATTTTATATATGGAAAAATATATGTATATTAGCGTAAGGCCTGGTGAGAGCTAATTGAAAATAGTATTGTTCACTATTATGTCTTTTTCTAATTTTAAAATTTATTTAACGGAAACACTAAAGTATTACACCTGGAATGTACCACAGAGCGATGAAACATTATTTTGGAAATATAAATAGGCAGGTGAGATAGCATTTGTAAGCAATCATCAAATGGGGAGGAGAATTTACGTGCATCCAACGCAGCCTTTGTTATTTTCTCGAGCTGTTATGTATTACTGTTCACAAAGAAGTTAAAGGAGGGTAACTTTTTTCTTCTGATAGAGTTTAAACCATATTCGACAACACCGAGTTAATGAGTCTTATCATCTTAAAGTATACTAACAGATACCGTAATGCGATAGTACTCCCTTCCACTGTACCATCTCTCAGGCTGACCACCCCTACTATTTTCAGTGATTCCAGGACCAAACTCAATGCTTCATACAAACACTGCTGTTATGAGGTGCCCAGGTTGTCAAAAGCAATATTGTAAACTGGCTTTAATGATTGGCTAACTATCCTAAGTAAGTTCAAACACATGCCGCTACTCCTCAGTATTTAACATTATACTTCCATTAAGTATGGAGGATACTGCGAAGACAAATAATCACGTCAAACGTCGTGAGATGATATACATGCAACTCAGCAACTACATTCAGGTTTGCATATTGTTTGGGTATTTAGACATTGGTGCGTGGGGCGGTGTTGCCTGGAGGTCGACTAACGAGGTACAGTCAGAAAATAGACCAACAGTCTCCGGTAAAACCCTAGTAGAACCAATATAGTATCAACTAGATTGTTACAACTGGACGTACCATTATATTTGCTGATTGTACTCAGTAAGAAAGGTCATTTAGTTGGCACTGAAATTCATCATTGGTTTTAACTGGAGTTCATCTATTGGACAAGTGAAGCGTCCACATAGAATGTCGTTCCCTCACCACTTTACTTGTTAATTTGAATAGATCTTGCTGTGCGACTACTCACAAGCCATTGTTATTGCAGATCCAGTAAAGTAAGTAGAGCACACATATGAGACTTGCATTTTTGGGTGAAGAGTGTCTACTTGGTGCCTTGCTAAAATCCTGATTGTAAGTCCTTGTAATACGTCAGACAATGCTTTCAGCGGTCTGGTCGAAACTGTTGCTCAAGGTGAAAACACTAATTATGAAAAGCTTTGTTGAAACACGTGGTTTTAGAATAACCAGTCAATATCCCGACCGATAGCTGCTACCTTGATGTGGTGGTCGGGATTGCATATCGCACTGATTCGTCGAGCTATGCCGATGGGACTCTTGTTTCCTGGACGTCCTACCGTACCAGAAAGGTCTTTTGGATAGTGATAACATAAAAAACAGATACCAGTATGGCATAAGTTATTCGTCGCAATGGGGCTCCGAGGGCACAGCTGTACTACCGACTGAACGGGGGTGACAGCAGCTAGGCGTTTCCCACGGAAGACGAAATGTGCTGTGGTGATGCTGCCTTCCCATAGGGATGGCAGAAAACGTTGACTCAAAAAATAACACACTCTTGTTTACTCCACGGCACACTGATTCTGGGGATATAGGTTCATAGTTGGAGTCGAAGCAAATAAGCTTAAGTCTCAAGCTTCGAAACAGGCCGTGTGTGACCGGCCCTAACCGGATGTCCCTCGGACTCTGTGGTCATTTATCAACCCTTCTTTCTCTGATACTTTAAGAAGAAATAGCCTTCCATCGTATAGGCAGTCGGTAAATGTTAACTTTCCTCACAACTGTGTCAGCACTGAAGTCCCTTCAGGTCACTGTCCACCTTCTGAGTCCTCAACCTTTAATCTTCCTTGACGCCTCTCGCTCAACAATACTACATCATCTTTAATTTCTTTCAGCTCCTCAGCTGTCGACAACGATCTGAGTTCAGGGGTCAGCCCCCCTGATCTCCTGAAACTTCTCCCCAAACTGCTTATTGGAGCTTTCAATGTTAGTACCCTTTGTCAGATCACCCAACAAGCTTTTGTAGCCAAAACTCGAACCATGAATTTGTGCTGTGTTTGTCAGATGCATATAAAGGACCCAAATGCAGTTATTCACTTCGTCTCATGCGGTCATTATGGTGAATTCAAAAACTCACCCCTGGAGTTTCTGGAGGATCGATGGTTAGTCCTCACGGTGTTGCAGGTGTAGGTTTAACATTAAGTGCTAACACAAAAAGCTCACTGCTCAACTGGATCCTAGTTGACAGTCTATGCGTTGTTCGAATGCATGGCACACTGAAGACTAAAAAAGCCGTGAAACTCGTCATTGTCTTTGTAGTCTCTGACGGCAGCTCGGATAAAGTGGAGGGTAAGTTCTACCGAAAACTGTCTGGCCTCCTACTGAAGCCAAACATTTAGATGTGATATTTGTTACAGGTGATTTCAATGCAGAAGTTGGTAGGCCAAAATAGGCGGGTAAGGATATAGATGGCACCTTCGAAATCCCAATCGAACGAACAGATTGCCTTCTACAACTATGCTCAGACAACCATCTGTTTCTGGCCACCACAAACTCCAGACACAAAGAGAGATATTGTCAACTCAGCCTTGGATACAGGTGGACCACACTGCAATCGGTTATCGCTACGTAGGGTCGGTGGAAGATCTCCGATCCTTCTGGAGCACGTCTTCAGACAGGAACCACGAGTACATTTGTTTAGGCTTATATCTGTAGCTAAATAGACGTAGAAAAACTATAGCCACTAGACCATTGTGGATGCAACTTGACAATGAGATTACACAGACTACTTCCAGTAAGAAACTGGCCAAATAGTTATCGAAATAGAACAACACCAGTCATCCCGAAGAATCTTGGCGCTGTCTGCAGTCTGCTATAAAAACGGCTTTGAAGTCCATGACTGACTCGCAGAAAGTGGTTTGAAACAGCCAGTCGATCTCAGTAGCCGCTTAAGAACTAATGGATGCACGCAAACTCATCTCTATGGGCTCCGAGCACATTGTGAAGTGGAAGCAACTGGTGTAGATTGACAACAAGTCTACATAATAGTCACGAACTGGGAAGGTTAGAGAGATGGGAAAGGTAACGGCGGTAAGCAACGAAAGACAGTTATTTCGACTTACTAAGGAAGGTGGGATATAAAGGTCAGTGGTTGTGAGACTACAACGGAGAAGGATGTGTCTGCAAACTCACTCACAAGAAGACGACTGGAACGATGGACAAAACACTTCGAGGAATAGTCGATTGTTTCCAAATACTATTCCGTTGCTTGCTATCCAGTAGGATCCTGAAAAGAATATCTCACTGGACCCTGGACACTTACCGACGCCCGAAACTGGCTGTATTTCTGGACCTAAGGGCAACCTTTGACTCCGTCGGATGAGAGGTTATTGGCAATGTCTCCCTCTCACTGAGACGGGTGCCAAGTAAGTGAATCACTCTGTTGGAGACTCTGTGTTCGAACACGTGGCGTGTACTGACCGCTTCAATTACCTGGGAATTTGGAGTAACTGTGATGGGTTAGTGGCTGACAAAAACCTCTGCACGGATACAGAAGGCCCGACTAACCTAAGCCATTTATTGTGTCGC